ATTGACAACTCAGATTATTAAATTAAAAGTTTCACTGATCTGGATAGGCTTATCGCCAAAGAAGATACATGAAAAGATCCTGAAAATCACCAGTCATTAGGGATATAAAAAAACAATGAGATAACACCACATGTGCATTAATTTGTAAAAGACCAACAGAACAAAGGTTGGTAACAATGTGGAGAACAGTTGGTAGGACCATTTTGAAAAACAGTTCCATAGTTTCTCAAAAAAAATCATACACAAAATATGTTATGTTATTGCAAAGGAATGTTTTTCAAAGTGGGAGAGAAAAATTGAAGAGATCAATAATCCACTTGTAGCTAGAACATATGAAGAACTCAGTAATCCATTTCATCACTCTCTCCCAATATGACTTCGTTCTAAGGCTCGTACCAAAATGGATTCCATTCATGAATGTATGTCAGTAACATCATTGAATACTTTTTGTTTGCTTGTAAAATGTTTCAGATAAGCTTGAGCTACAGAAATGGCCATTTAAATTGTAGCAGAGTAGCAGATGGACTGGCTGGGATACGATTTGCCAAAGCTATAGGATCTCCATTGACAAGAGGCATCTATCCCATCAAACCTCATGCCTGCCACTGACAGGTCTACATGACCCTTAGACTTGAAAGGCCAACAAATGTCAAAACCTAGGAATCAACAGGGTCCCAAAAATGCTGCCATGGGTCCCAAAGAATAAGATATTTTGGTGTACAAGGTTTTAGCTTAGTCTTTTAAAGCCACTTGAGTTTTTTGCCTCCACACCTGTCACCTCTACACCTATGCTTAACCATCTTCGAATCTCCCATGATGCCTAATCCAGCACTCAACACACAGATGAGAAATGTCATTACCACTGGACAGTTTTAAGCAGAATGGACTTTAGTTCATAGTGACTGCTACTCTTAGGTATAAGCTCTACCCAGAGAGGAAATGATGCAGTCCTGGGAATTAATAACATTGCCCTCAAGTTCAAGGCAGTTATTTTGATTCTGTTAGGCTGAAGATGGAATGTTATACTTTGAATCCCCTTGGAAAGAAAAGGATGGGGGGAAAATACAAGCCTGTCCCCTAGGAATAAGGTCCCCAAACCAATCACTTGGAGATAATTACCAAAAGAGAAATACGAGAAATGCTGTCAAGAGTGGGGAGCTATATATTTGAAGAAAAATGTAACTGACAGTATGTCTTCCTGGCCACTAGTTAATCTCCTGCATGGGACAGAAGATCATCAGAGCTAAATAGAAACTGTCAAAACAATGTCCTCAGGATACTGGGATACCTACAATTTATAAAAGAAAAAGGGGTACAAATGTAACTCAAATAAGGGATCCAAAATTTCATTAGTATGCCCCAAGCTGTGATATAAAACAATCACAACAGTCACAAAAATGAGGATGAAATCCCAGGGCCTGGAAAATATCCACTACTTAAGAGATCTCAACAAGAGTCACAAGTCCACCATTGTGTTATTGAAGAATATACACCATTCTCTATTCCTACAATGTCAGGAAAGTCCTGCACCCTAGGGTCAAGACACATTTAACAGCTTCACTGGAGCCTATCTTTCATTCAGAAGTACAGATACTTTTGTTGAGGGACTAAAATATTGTTACAATATAGGGGAAAATTGGGGAGAGTGAGAGTGGGTGGAAGGAGAAATCACTGAGCCTAAGGATCTGTATCATGAAAAATAAGGCATTTTTAAAGAAAAGATTGCGATCTTAATAAACCTGAGATTGGCTGGAACATCAGTGAAGGCCACAGGATTGCAAAATTTGAAGAATCAGATGAAAGCAGATCTTCTTAGTAGCCACTGCCCAAAAATTATGAATCTTGTCTGTGAAGATTTAACCAGATTCTCTCTCTCTCTCTAAAGGGCCTTTAGATTCTTTGATTATTTTCTCCTCAATAAATTCACAGCTGATATGGAAACGTTTCCCTTTGGCTGGTTTTCTAATTCTTTATCAACCTGATGGAATAGCAATGCATTTTGTAGATATAGTATTGCTTTACTCTGAAAGTATTTGTGAAAGATTTATTTATTTATCTGTGAGGTGGGTAGTGGGCGGGCAGAGAAGGGGATGAGGTAGATCTTCCATCCAGTAATTCTCTCCCCTAATGGCTGCAATGGCCACACCTACTCTATCATCTTCCACTTCCAGGTTTTCTGTTTTGCTTTGTCTTGATTTTTTTTTTATCCTTTTGTTACTATCAGAGCTGTGAACTAAACAGGAACTCAGTTTAAAGCAGGGTTTGCTATGAAAAGTCACTAAAACAACACCCTTAGCAGTGAGTAAAATCATAAATGTAGAGAGCTAGACTATAAAGTCTTTAAGATGTTAAGATTACTTTACACTAAGTGATATGATAAGCTGACTTGGTGAAATCTTGTAAGTATAGGCTTCATGCAGTTAGGACACAGTTTTGAGGACACATCTTATAATTACAACTGTCATCAATACCAAAAAAAGGGCAGCATAAACTAGAAGGAAGATAAAAAAAGAAAGAAAAAAAGAGTGTTGCAGAGACTAAAAATCCTTTAAAATTGATTTTTGCCTACTATGTGAAAGGAATTCAGTTCACACAGTCCTGTGTTCTGTGAGAAATATTTAATGTTTTGCACACATAAATGCATACTACATGTTTACAATAGAAAAAAGCAATAAGCAATGTCTTATCATTCCTCCGTAATCAATTTTTGTTTTTCACTAAAATTTCCTTCTCTTGTGTTCATCTGCTTCATATTTTGTCATAGGGCAAGACCCAGGGTTCACCTCAGCTGTTACCCCCAGATATGTTCGGTCAAACTTTATCTAGGGTGTCTCTGACAAACTGAGTAAGGCACATGACCCTTCCTGAAAGTGAGCGGGCATCATCCAATCAATCTGTTGGCCAAAGAGGACAGGAGAGTTGCCTGCTCTGACCCAGAGGCCTGAGGGTTTTTAAGCTTAGATTGTAGGGTTTCCTTGTCTTGCAGCTCCCAAATGAAATATTAGCTCTTCCTGGGCCTTAGGCCTCTCCACTAAAGACTGTGGTGCAAAAGTAGTTTTGAAATTCATGTGCTTTTAAAAAATGTACTTTCCATAAACTTTCTGAAGACTCCTCATGTTTCCTGTATGTTCTGCTTCTGTGCAGAACCCTGCCAACCACCCTATTTTAAGAGAAATCAGAATTACTTCAGAATTACCAAAAAAGTAAAACCAAGGAAGCACCAAAATGGCAAGGAGGAAAGGAGCCACAACAGCTCACAAGTGGTGAGAATGTCTAATGAATCTGGGTTCCGTTTCGCAGCACAGTCTACATGTACCCAGCTGGTCTGAAGCTTGCCTGGGATGTTTTTAACTTACACATTGAAAAAGAATGCCTGTGATCCTGAAGCTTTTTTTTTTTTTTTCAAAATTCCTTAAGTCTTTCCTCCTTTTACACTTCTCATTTCCTTACTCTCTGAATCAGGATATAGATGATTTCAGTATGTGTGGGTATTATGAGATCACAGGCACTAAAATTTTCAAAGCTGATCAAAAGCACCATGCATTTCGATCAACAAGGATGCAAAAGAAAAAAATAAACTTGCTCAAGGCTTGATTAACTACTGTATTTTTGAAAAGGATTTTGGTCTTAACTATGGGTTGCTGGCGTGCACATGATTTCAGCTGTTGCTTTGGAGGGCAGGGTATAGCACGCACAGATAACACAGGTATGGAAAATCATGTGATTTGGTAATTTCTTTGGACAAAGCAAGGCAGGTCTTTTATCTTTAATCTGATCTTGACTTCCTCAGCACTGGTAAGTGAAGGTCTTTTACCCAATGTATGTTTTGGTGCCTTTCTTGCGCCTGTATATCCCCTCTTTAAACTTCATTTCTTCACAAGGTTAAGAGTAGAACTTTTGGGGACAGATTACATATATTCAATATTATTTCTGAGTGATTTACTTCTTTGTGCCTCTGTTTCCTTGGCAACAAAATGTGAAACATAATGATGCGTAATGTGGTGAGGATAAATGCATGGTTCAAGTTCTTAGAGTTACGTCTGGCCTGAAGAAACCTTGATTAGCCTCAGAATCCCTTAATTCATTCCTCCAGACACATCAAGGAGGTAAGTTATTTGCCATTCATGTATAGAACTAGAACCACATGGCCTTACTGAACTGAAAACATCCATACTAGCCTGCCTGCCCTCCTGACTGAGCAGAATTATACCTTCTTTCTCATCACATTTCCCAGTTCCCAGTGTGATGTGTGGTCCACACAACGTACCCATGGATTGGACAACTGATGCTAACAAGGCTAACAAGTCACCTAAGGACTGCTATTCATGAACACCAATGGCAACGCAGTGAAGAGTTCCTTTAGCTACACTCTGCTAAGAAATATAATCCACTATTTCTGTGTGTGAGAAAGAGTTAGGATCTTCAATTCATTTGGTTAATGACAATAAAAATCTTGCAAATAGGGTCATTTTGGTTTATAGACTTGTTATTCCTGACTAGATGGGTAACAAAACCAAAATTAACAAAATCAATGCCTTTTCATTCTGACAGGTCAGAGGCAGCCCTAAACTGCCACATTCCTGAAAAGGACGAGGGACAACAGGACAAACGCCAGAGCTGCTAACCTCAACCTCAGTTACAGGATCTTGTCTCGGTATCAAATGCCAGTAGCACTTCAATCTTGAACTTCCTACACAGTCTTCACAGCTGTGAGAAGTAAATTTTTCTTCTTAAAAATTACCCAATCTCAGGCACGCTGTTGTCACAACACAAACAGATTAAAATTGATTGTTGTACCTTCTGGTCAACCAACGGTCATCATTCATAAAACAACTATGAAAATCAGTCTGCATTTACTTGGATACTATTTAGAATGTTGAAAACCATGAATATCAACTGCCATGAGTTGCTAAAAATGCAAAGGTACTTTCTGAGGTATCCAGCTAGGAAGGTCTGATAAAAAATACAGTGGGTGAGCAGTCACCGGAGGAAACACTTACCACAATATCCTCAGGATACGTGTCTCTGCTGAAGGAACCATCATCAAACATGACTTCAAAGAAGGTTTGTGATGTCACAGCAATAACTCTGCAGCTGTAATAGCGGGTGTTTCGATGCTTTGTGATGACTGTCTGACCCACAGTGATGGCCTTCTCGCAAGCCTTCGATTTCTGAGACAAGAAGAAAGAGGAAAGGAAAAGGAAGGAAGCATAAAAGAAATATTTGTGACGAAAATAATCACTAAAATTGAAAAATATTTTCAAGTTTAATGAAAATTGTAAAAATACAAGCAGCACCAAGAATATTCATGATACCTACTGGACTGTTGCCCCGGTTCATTTGCTGTTACCTAACGTTATTATTAACCCCTTATCATTTGCTTTAATGTGCATATGTATGTGTGTTTGAGAAGAAAATATAAGCATGTGTCTGTATGAGTATGAGTTGTGGAATAACATGTAAGCTACATACATGATGAGATTTTCACCCTTAAATATCTCAGTATTTTCTAATGGGGATATTCTGTTACATAATCATAGCTACAGTAAGATTAAACTCCAGGAAATTGAACATTGATGTGATGTTTTAATCTTCTACCCATACTCTAGTTGGTCAATTGATCTAACAATGACCTTATAGCTTATTCCTCCTCTGCTCCCAAGCTCCAAAGTACAGCATGAGTCAACAGCCTTTCTTCATTTCGTGTCCTCAGAGTATTTCATATTTCCTTGTAGTTATATACACATTATACATTCTTGGCCAGAATGCCACAAAGATCACACAGAGCGTTATGTACTCAGGATGCTGTCCCTAGGGACACATGATGTTTGCTACTCAATGCTCATGACCAAAGGGTGGTCGTCCCATTTCTCTGCTTTATTACAATCTCTTACTCTAAGCAATCTGTAAGAGTTATCATCATTATCATGCACATATCTGGTGTCCATTGCTGTTTGAGTTCTTAGTTGTTCCAATAATGGATAATGGTGGAATATGCTAATTTTTCCCTGCTTCAAAACTCATTCCAAATTCACTAACTGGTAATCAGCATTTTTTAAGCTGGAGCTTCCCTTATCTTTCTAAATGCATAAACCTATTGCTCTCCCTTGTCCATTTCTTTATAATTCATTTCATATTGTCTAGCTTCTCAAATAATCCTATATTTGGCCTAGAGGAGCTCCTTTAGTCTGGCTTTGATGAAAAAACTTTTTTTATTATCTGGCTGGACAGAGTATCTCAGAATCATCTTAACTCAGCTGCATGCTAGCCATTCCAAAGAATGATACATATTTTTGTATGTCCATAGGCAGAGAACAGGGTTTTGAAGCTTACTGCTCAAGTATGTGTATGAGGATGAGGATCTGGGGCAAGGAACTAAGGAAAGAATGTTCATAATTTGAACAAAAGGTGAAACCCCAAAAATATCTTCCAAAGGATTTCCCATACCTTGCACAACAAATGGTACTTCTTAAGCTTACATTCTCCAGTAATTGCTGGTACAGTAGATAAAATCATCTTTGTCACTGCAGTATAGGCAGATATAAGACAACCTTGATAAAGCCCATGAGTAAGAAGTCTCCAGGGTTTTAAATGTACTACATATGAAGCACAAATATATCTATGAAAGTCAGAGTTAGAAAAGAGACAGAAATCTTCCAACTACTGGCTCGCTTCTCAAGTGGCAGCAACAGCCAGGCCTCACAAAACCAGAAACATCATTGGGTCTCTCATATGGGAGGCAAAAATGCAAGCAACTGGGCCACTGCTACTCCCATGTCATTTGTAGGAAGCTACCTGGGAAGTAAAGCAGTCAGGATATGAACCAGCACAGATATGGGATGATGGCGTTACAAAGAGTCGCTTTATCCAACATGTCACAAAACCAGGTTTTGAAATAGAACTCTTTAACAGCTAACTAGGTGACAGAGCATTTCCTATTTCAGCATTTCCTATTTACAATATTCTTGAAACACTAAAAGTTACTAGGAATAGAAAGCATAGTCTATAAAACAATCTATTGTGGGGAGCTGGGTGCTAAATCCCCTCCTGGGATTGGGAAGGGCCGTTGTAAGATGGAGACTGGCCCAGGACCAGGAGGCTGAGTTGGTCTTGCCAACAGGTAAACAGGAAGTCACAGGGATAGGCTAATGCCCTCGCTGCGATTATGTCATTGTTACTGGCCTACCATGTAGCGCCAAGTGGACCCACGGGGAGAAGTGATTGGTGGAGAACGATATAAAAGTAGCTGGTAAAAGCTAGGGACAGATGGACGACGATGGACAGAGGGATGACGACGACAAGAAAGACGGGATGGGGGATGGGGAGAAGAAGGACGGGACCTAAGAAGAAGGGTGGCAGAGAGAGGGCTGGAAAAGTGGTAGAGAAGTAGTAAGACCAAAATTCAGGGACAAGAATGGAGAAATGCAGCAGAAAGCAGGTGAACGAAGAACGAAGAAGGGTGGCGGAGAGAGGGTTGGAAAAGTGGCAGAGGAAAGCTAAGGCCAATGGGGAAAGGGGCAGCGGAGAAAAGGGCTTAAATGCAGCCGCTTTTGGCAGTGAGGGGTCCGGTTGCAGTTCTGGCTTTCCCCAGACCCTCAAGAGTGTGCCTCATCGTTTTAGTGTTGTTGGTGGTCAGCGACAATCTTAACTTCAAAACTGGGCCCATGTCAGTTCCTTGGGGTTACTCAGGTTACCAGTAACTGTACAAGGATGTAGTGGCAATCTGTATGATCAAACTCAGGTGTTTAAGAAAACTGGATTGAGGCCAAGCAGGACTTCATCCAGTCAGAATCTTTTTAAAGCTGCTGCTCCTCCCTGCCAAAGTTAGAAGTGATCAGAATGAGATAAACTATATTTAACTATGGTGATAGTAGTTTCCTGTATATTTTTTTTGAAATCATATTCACCCTCAAACAAAACTATTTGGTTTAAATTTGGATTCTCAATTCTGATTTAAACTGGCTATGCATTTGTCTTGGAGAAATTATTTAACCTTCGTCAATGTTGGTTTGTTCATCAAGGAAAGGGATAATGCTTAAATGCTGTAAATGCTTAAATACCGTAAAATACAATGAAGTAATGTATATCAAATACCTAGACTTCCATGACTATGTTCAGAGCAAATGTTAGCAGCTTCATTTTAACAAACAGAAAACACATCTAAGACTTTAGCCTGTACCAGAATTACTGAGGCAGCATCCTGCCTTCATACAGAGAAGGCTTAAGTCATGCCCAAGTCATTACTGTGGAGATCAATCCAAGCCTTGACTCTTCACCTCATCAACTCTAGGAGTCTATAACTCATGTCAAAGTTAGACACACTGCTAGGCCCTGAGAAGTCACCTAACACCCAGGGAAGAAAGCTATGTTTAGAACTTTCTAGAGGCCCTGACCACATGAAACTTTCCATTTCTGTTCATGTTACAACACAGGAAAACCAAAAGTCCATGCCAGGAGTTTTTATCTATAGCACCCAGGAAAGTATTTTAATAACCATTACTGTTAGTGAACCCTGACAGGAATAATGGAAGCAAGTGACTGAACAAGCTGCAGGTTGGACACAGAGTGATCCATTCATCCAAAAAAGCATAAAGAGAAGCCAAGAGAGATTTAGATATTCCCATTGTTCACATGGGTGGGTGTGAGTGTAGGTAGAGAAAGGGAAGGAAGAAAGTTCAGAGTGAAATTCAGAGTCTGGATGAGGACAGACAAGGGACATGAAAGATCAGAAAGGTTTTAGAAAGAAAAAGCTGAATCTAGATCACAATTTTCCTCCTGCTTAGGACATAAAATCTATGCAGATTGCCTGGTTAGAAAGAGTGCTAGCACACAAATTAAATGTACAAACTACATCTAAGTAAAAATTCTCATAAGCTTCAAGCATGACCATATCATGGGGAGTCTAAGGAAAATGGATTCTTTTAATAAAAATTCTATTTTGATAGGATTTCTGATTTATTTTTGCAGGAAAAATTTATTGACAAGCCTACCCCATAACTGATGATATGCATCCTCAAAAATATTTCCTGCCAGAAAAGCCCAAGAATCTATTGATGTAAAGAATGTCATTTTTGATCAAAGAAGACAGATGTTATGCAAGGACCTCCATCAGATTCAAGAAATGGTTATGGTATTTTGAAGATTAGTGTTCAAGCTAAGGTTATGAAAGTTGAATTTTCTTTAGCATGAACTAAACAGAAATGCACACACAGATGTCTAAACAAACAAAAAAGAGTCACGTCATTTAATGAAATGTTAGAGTTGAGAGGAGATGCACAGGATATGAAGGAAATTTTTTAAATGTACAGATGATGGAAACAAAACTGTATGTCCAGTTTTCCACATTCATCACACACAAGTTAATTTATCAATAATCTTATGAGGTGGATATTATTTGAACACAAAGCTTCTGTAAAAATACAAATTCAAGAGAGTTTTTGGGCCTGGTGTGATTGCTAAATTGGCTAATTTTCTACTCTTCAAGTACCAGTATTTCATATGGGCACTGGTTCATATGCTGGCTGTTCCACTTTCCACCCAACCTCCTGCTTATGTTCTAAAAAAGCAGTGGAAGATAGCCTAAAGCCTTGAGACCCTGCATCCACGTGGGAGAAAAGAAGAAGATGATCCTGGATTCCAGCTTTGCGTTGGCTCAGCTTTGGCTCTTACGGCCATTTGGGGAGTCCTTGAGAGCATGGAAGATGTTTGTCTCTCCTTCTCTGTGTAAATCTGCCTTTCTAATAAAAGATAAATATATCTTTGTTTCCAAGATATCCACAGCTGGTGAGAGGTTGCCTTCTCTAACACTGAATGCTCAGTATCATCAATCAAGAACACAGAAAATGGAGAAGTAAAATCAATCAGGAAAGAGGACTAATAGATTTCAAGCAGTTATCTCAAACAACCATTTCTTTTGTCATGTATATATTTACTTATCTATTTAAAATATTTATTTTGAAGGCAGAGTTACTGAGAAAGAGTGAGAGACAGAATCTTTCCTGCTGTTTTATTACTCTAATAGCTGAATGGCCACAGTGGGGTCAGTCTAAAACAAGGAGGCAGGAGCTTTGCTGGGTCTCCCACATGGGTTCATGGGCCCAACAAGGACTTGAACCATCTTCCACTGCCTTCCCAGGAGCATTAGCAGAGGACTGGATTGGAAATGGAGCAG